CTACATTTTGCTACACATTTTACAAAATCTTGTACATGTATCCCAGCCACTGAACATAACGCAGTGCTGAGTCACATGCTTTGCAAGAATCGCTTTCAAGGTTTTTTTGCAAACGCAAGCCTGTGTACATCTCATGAAGAGGATCCACTGCTGGATATTTATTGCTTCCCATGGCATGGCAGCGGTAATCTAATAATGCAGAATTTGCGTGGCGGCATAAGCGTTGCATCTGCAACCCGACCATGCTTGCCAGCTCCTTAAAAAAAGAGAAATACAGAGAGGAAACTGTTTAACTCGGTCAGAAAGGTTGAAGTCATTAAAGAACATCAGCCTTCACATCCGTTCATCATCCACAACTCGGCAGTCTTCCGCTAGTCAACGAATGTGAGTACACGTGCACATACAGCACTCCCCTGAGATTCATAGCTACGTTGTGGAGCTCAAAGCGAGCGTTTTGCACTGACTATCTAAAGAGGCATAAAAAGAAGCTTGTCTACAAGCAGAACTTTCGAAGTGTGAAAGATTTTAATTTTGCCCTAGCATGAAAGCGCATGCCAGAAAAAGCCTCATCGATCAGAGAAACCGATATTTTGGGACAGAACTGCTTCAACCGCTTCAAAGGGATCCTCATATAATCTTCGGGAGGATCTCAGTCTGATGAAAATTTCGTTCCAGAACAAAGTGCTGTTGAGTAGCTAAACGTGTTCATTCAGACAACTGATGTGATATCCCTGAAAATTCCAGTGAAAGTGAAAATACATTGAGGCGCGTCCTCCTACGCCAAGCGTAAGAAAGGGGAAATTGAGGGTGCGGTCTCCAGGAAAATTTCTGCTGGCCTTACAGCAGCGTATGGCCCTAGAGAGGAACCTGGTCTTTCAGCAGAAACCCAGACTTCCCAAAAGTTTCGAGAACATTGCCACATGCTAGATCAACAAATTTGCAGAACGTTATTGCGGAGAGTGACGTCGAACGTTAAAGGGCCAGTAAACAACCTTGTCTAAAAATTGTTATAAATAGAAATATATGCATTTTTACTTTGTTAACATGCTGCCACAAGAATTTTGTGAATACGTGCTATATTAAGGTAGTTACTGGGGCTAGAACATCATGTTAAGCTGGTTTCAAATTGTCGCACGGCCTCGCCACACATCTCCTTCAGAGGGAAATTAAGGCGTGGCTCATCATTGTGACTCTGCCGACTTCGCGGTTGTGACAAGACGTCAACGATTGACGTCATCGGCGAACTCAATCAGTCGCAACGCACTTCCGCTTGCTTCGATGCCTGGTTGTTTTATTGTTTACCCGGTGCTGATGCTTCTCCATAGCCCAGTCGCCTGATTTGCAGCTGACAACAATTAGCAGCAAAACTGTGTTGCAAAACCTGGACATGGAAGTTGGCCCAATTTTTCTGGAGTTCGATTTTTTGGGAGCGGAGTGTCGTGCCATCTGGAAGCAACAGCACAAAATACAAATATTGCACTTAATAGAGGGCGCGACAATCTGCGCACTCCCAAAAACTGCGTTGGTGAAGTGTCCCAATTTCGATGCATGGAGCATATGGGGAGTTTTGCAACTCGTATGATTGAATAGTTCTATCAAAGCTGTGGGTGGAAACAGGAACTGTCATTGCTGCTTTAGACCAATCGGCGAGCTGCGTGCTGCGTCACTTCGCCGATCGCAGAGTTGTCGCCTCTGCGCGTGCAAGGAACATTCGTCAGACGTAAGAAAGAAGCATGGGAATTGTTTTTTGAAATGGAGGCTCTGCACGGCTCGCAGCTCTGTAATATTCAGAAAACGGGATCACTGCGGTCTACTCTACGAATTACCGAGCTTGTTTGCGGGGTGTAAAAAAAGTCTGGGCCTGTTGACTGGCCCTTTAAGCAGTAACATTTACCTGAGGACATGTCTCTGAAAATGTAATATTTTGAAATTTGCTGCTCCAGAGAGAAGTTATTAGTTGCTCTAAAATGGCATAGACTGACCACATCACTGCTTTTAGTTCAAAAAAAAAAAAAAAGAGGTAAATGACACTGATTCTGCATTTGCACCTCAAAAAACAAAAATTAATCTACGGAGAAAATATATTCGTTTGCTAAATTTTTTCAAGAATCATGAATGCTATTAAATTTATTTTTTATCAGGTCTGGAGTTCACGTACCACCCACCTCCTGAAAGCCTATAGCTTTCTCATATGGTTGCATTTGGATAATGGTGATTTATCTATTGCAGCATAAGAATATCAACCCTGCAATCACTTGACCCTCTGCATGGCATAGGCTTATCACGTTGCAGGGGCACTATTTAATTTTTGTCTGAGGGCTATTAAACGGACAGAAACATTTTTTTTTTTCATGTGAACATGTCCATCAGGCATGGAAGGCAGTGCCCCTATCCTGGCAGTGTCCCAATCGTTCTTTCATTAACACTGATTGGGGCACTGCTTCAAATAGTGGCAGTGTCCCAGTGTTCATGAGAGAAATTGCTTTTTGCATTGTGCAGACAATCTTAATAGAAAAAGAACAAGTATGCATGTACAGTAGACTCAGTAAATGGAAATCTGTTAAACAGAACTGCTGCTTCTGACAAGGTTGGTTTCATTCTAGTATTCTGCTCTCCTGGTCATCTCTCTGTAAATGGAACTCTTGTTAAATGGAACATATTTTTCTGGTCCCTTGAGATTTCGTTTAATGAGAAGCTGGTTTAGATATGACTGTAATTCAGACTTATGTAATGCATGTTCTTTAAACTCATCTACACTTTTTTTTTTTTTAATAATGTCTAATCTTTACGGGCATAAGTGTCATTGTTTTTTAAACTTTAACTTTGGTTAACATTGATCTTTGTTACATTTAATTGGTAGCTTACAAGACTGCCAGACGAAAATAATAAAGTTTGTTTCATTACTATTGCTTTGAAACAATGTTCAAAATGGATCTGTTAAGACGGGTATTTATTTGTTAAGCATTCCATGGAATTCCTCTAACACCACATCAGTCTATACTTTCTGCTTGCCGGGTAGTGTTTGTGCATCGCGAGTTCTTTACTTTGTGTATCTCATAGCCTCAATTGCTTTGGGACATTGAATCCCATAAACCAAGTTATAGTAGCCAACTAACCTACTATAAGTTCATTACCTTTGTTCCTCCAATTTTTACTCGTATATCTCCGTTTTTCATGTCAAGGTTTCCGATTGCATATTCTGTGTATCACCTTTAAATAAGTACCTGGCATACAGGTTCTCAGGTAGAATACTAAGGTATTCAAGAGTGCATATATTCTTTTATACCTAGCCTTTTTAGTGGTACAATATAATCTCGATGATAGGAATTTGAAGGAAGCACGCAAACTATTGATATCATCCCGAATCCGTATGAACCAAAAGCAAGTTAAAACTGATAATGAAGATTAACAAGAACTTCATTGGCAACTAGTTCTTGCTGAAGAAGTAGATTATGTTTTTTTAAACTTTTCTGGTTTCACTGTCTTTTCTATAAAGTGCCACGGTTTCCTGACTCATGCTGCTGGTGCGACGTATTCACATTTACATCGAAGGGAGTGAAGGCGGCCAAACTCATTGGAAATTCACTCGCGTCACCGCACTTAACGGCTGAAGCATCGGGCGATGAAGCCGACAGGAAAAAAAAATCGATCCTGCAGAGTTCACACTGGGTAAATCAAGCGAAAACGCCAGAGATGCCGGAAAACCACATTCATGCTCGTCGAAAGCGTTCACATTCATTCTGCCCCTCATACATGCCACCGCCGCCGCTTGAGAATTCATTCTATTTTGCCCGTTTCCTGAACATTAAAGTTCATACCGAGTTCTAGTTATGCATGCAGATCACTGAAAAGAAACAGTTTACTCCTTCACAAATGTTGTCTCTGAAGATATGCCAGCAGGAACGACACAAGCGGACGCAACGGTGGCGACGGATTCAGCCGGCAGTGCAAAAGTGAGACACATTAGGACATGTTGATTCGCTGCTGCTGCACCTTCGTCTACTTCCAGTGTTCTCAGCGATTGTAATTCAAAGTACGCTCTCTATAAACGCGTCCTCATCAAGGCCGTAAGTTTTGATGTGCTGCACGGGTTGTTCGGGATAGCACCTACGCGATCCACCACTGATGCCTTTGCCGCCTTGTTGAGTTTGCGGCTGGCTGTTTACATCACGTGGTTTGAGAGCTAGAGCAACCGGTGTAGCCAAAGCCAAAAGTGATTTGTTATCGTGGGAAAATTGGTCTCAGACTTACTTTTCATGTTGGCCTTGCAACGTGTTTTTCCAGCCACTAAAGCGAGGAAAATTCCGCCAAGTTTTGTCGCAGTCACTCTTTTAGAGGCCAAGAGTGGACGGGCCTTCCTCGGACAAACAAGTCGCTTTGCGCCGCTTGCATGCAGTGGTCAACCAACAAATTCGTATCATCCGCTGTGATCGAGGAAACCATTCGTATAGCTCTGAATCATGGCGTGTTTTATGTAATTTAGTCTATCCAAAACAACCTTAAAAGTTGTATCATTGTGAAATTCACATAAACCATAATAATATCATAGAGATCATGCTATAACAGGTTCAAAAGCCTTTTTATAATTGTTAGCATGAAACCTTATCACTGTTAATTTATACAGTTGTGGCATGAGTTGTCACTTTTTGGGGCAACACGTTCTGCTAACCAGTTGACTGATCGTCTTCTTCTCAGTATCATATTTGCATAGTGTCACTGCACCATAACGGTATATGACATAAGGTGTGCTCCGTCACTGCCAGAAGAAGAGTGTTGAAGCCTGAGTAACGTTTTATGAAGTCCCCAGGAAGACTCAAGGTTCTGATAGTTTTTTTATTCTATCTAATAGTTCGTGCTTGTTTCTCATAGAATGCAGAGTCAGGGCTCTAATGTCACTTGGGTGTAACATGGGTGAGTTCTTAAAAGTGACAGAGAAGGCAAATTTAGTAAATGTGTTTGAAAAGGAAATGAGTAACCTGTTTGAATTTGCTCTCACCCAGGTGGAGCTGCGCCAGTGTGGAAAGAGCCATGGCATGTACCTGCCTCCCTCTGCACTGCGGACAACCATTGAGAAGAGCCCTCTTGTAGAACGCTTGCGGCAGAGGGAGACAAGTCCCAGGGAAAGAGACGGTAAGTGGTATCCTGAGGCTCGCACACTTCCATCTCTATTTGATCACAGCACGTGAGCTGTTCGTTAGAGATGTTAAACCCCAGGACTTCGAGATGCAAGCAAGTGCGAAACTGAGCCAGTCAATCTGTGAATACCACTGAACGAGGTAAAAATAATTCGGCAAATGTGTATCGTTGTTCTTTGTAGTCATTAGAAAAGGTTACGGTTTATGATTTTTTTTTATATGCACAGAGACTACCATGGGAAGTTTATTATGGTCTTTCCCAATGGTTTCATGTTTGACTTATCCTGCATGAGCTGATTCTTTTTTATCCATGTGAATTCTTTTAATTTCATCACCCCACTTGACTCTCTGCCATCCTTTCCTATGTTTCCATTGCCACATATTGGGTCAACAAATTTGCAGAACGTAATTGCTGAGATTGACGTCAAATGTTAAGCAGAAGCATTCAACTGAGGACATGTCTCTGAAAATGCAATATTTTGAAGAGCATTAAAAAAAGCCATCTTTGATTTTCTTCAAACTCGTGAGAATTAAGCCTAAGCACATGCTCTAACTTAATCTGTAAAAACATGTTGCATTTTTTTAGAACAATGTTACAAAGCACGAAAAGTGGTAAAATACGACGTAAACTGAGTAACTGCGGCATCGGGCGAGTAGGAAGCAATAGTTGCCATTATCAATATTTTTAGGTCGTGAGTGTGTTTTGTAGATGTTAATAAATGATGGACTGACCAAGAAAAAAAACGGGAACTGATGGTTTCGAAGAGCAAATTACAACTACGTTTCACCACGCATTTTACAAAATCTTGTTCTCTACTACTTGACTCTCTGCCATCCTTGGCTATGTTTCCATCATTGGTGTCCATTTCATTGCTCCCACTGACCATCAGTTATTTTACCTTTGTGGCCGTTATGTTATGTGACCTACCCAGGTCTTTTATTTTTTTCTCTTAATGCAGTGGTGATCCAATTCCACCATTTTGCTAGAATTCTATATCCCTTTGCCTTGCCACACACATTCAAGTACAGCTTGCGCCAACTTCGCCAAAGTTCAAAGTTCACTGGTCTGCCTGCTTACATGGCATCGAACCGTTAATCGCCTTCAACTATATTCTTGGTTGCAACAAACACAACTAGAGCCTTTCCATAATGCCGCCGATGACCTCTACTCAGGCACCATTCCGGCTATTCCCAGTGATCCCACTCCTGTGCGAACTGCGCCAAATCAAATATACTGCGCCATCCTGATAGTAATATTGTGAGGAACCGGTTTATTCAGCCAGGCTCAAGCTAAATCACACTGTTCATGATATTTACAGATGATGAAGGTGATGATGATATCTAAAGAGAATGAAGAGTCATTCGCTTGTCGCGCTCACACTAATTCCCCCGCGCAGTGAAAGCGGCCGCCTGGTCGCTCAAGAGTATTATGAAATGCGTCACGCATAAGGCTTTAAATGAGATACGTGCACTATCTCTGTCCCTCAGCAACGATGATCAGGATTAGTGCTAAGAGGAGAAACGCAGTAATTGACAGGAGATGTCTGTTCGACCACCGTGTATGGCCCAATGAAGCGACTGATGAATTTGTCCCATAAGCCGGAGACGCGCAGTGGAGTCCATAGAAGAACTTAGTCACCAGGGGAAAAACTCGCAACACAGCGAGACGAGTCGTAGCGAGATTTTCGAGTGTCTTGAGAGAGGCCGGTGTTAACGCAAGCCAGGTGACGGCAATGTGCGAGACGAGATAAAAATTCTTCAGAGAAAGGAGCCGTCCAGGGTGCAGGGGCCGAAAGGAAAGAGACATCCAGAGCGAAACGTGGCGAGCGACCATGGATGAGAAAAAAAATGGAGAAAAGCCGGTAGTGCATTGAGCAGCCGTATTATAAGCAAATGTCACGAAGAGTAGAATTGCATCCCAGTTCGTGTGGTTGGGCTGAATGTACATGGCGATCATGTCCGATAGGGTCCGATGACTGCGTTCAATCAATCCGTTGGTCTGCGGGTGGTAGCTAGAAGTGGTCTTGTAAACAGTGTTTGAGGCACGCAAAACTTGCTTGACAATAGAAAAGAGAAAGACTTTGACACGATCGCTCAGGAGAATGCATGGAGCTCCATGGCGCAAAAATATGTGGCGAAGAAAGAAATCGGCGACCTCAGTGGCAGTCCCAGATGATATAGAAGCTGTTTCTGCGTAGCGAGTACGGTGGTCAACGGCCGTTACAATCTAGTGATTCCCGTTAGATGATATAGGAAGAGGGCCATACAAGTCGATTCCAACGACTTCAAAAGAAGGCGAGGCGCGACAAGGAAGAGGTTGCATTAAGCCAGCCGGAGCAGTTGTCGGTCGTTTTCGCCGTTGGCAATGGACACAGGAGGCGACGTACTTAGCGACGGCTGAAGAGATGCCAGGCCAAAAACAACGACTTCGTATTTTGTCGTAAGTCTTGTGATAGCCTAGATGAGCGGTGGTTGGATCATCATGAAAGGCTTCCAGAACTTCACGTTGCAGAGAACGTGGGATGACGGGTACCCACTTATTGCCTTTGATGTGGTAAGTCTAGCGGTATAAAGCACCACCGACAAGCTTAAATTGTTTGAGTTGTCGACGGAGTCTGGTGTTTGGAGAAGTAGTAGAGCCAGTCAAGCGGTCAACAATGGTGCGGTGCCCCGCCGCGGTGGTCTAGTGGCTAAGGTACTCGGCTGCTGACCCGCAGGGCGCGGGTTCGTATCCCGGCTGCGGCGGCTGCATTTCCGATGGAGGCGGAAATGTTGTAGGCCCGTGTGCTCAGATTTGGGTGCACGTTTAAGAACCCCAGGTGGTCTAAACTTCCGGAGCCCTCCACTACGGCGTCTCTCATAATCATACGGTGGTTTTGGGACGTTAAACCCCATACATCAATCAATCAACGTTAGTGGGCAGTAATTGTGAGCAAACGCCATCAAGGCGCTTACAGTTTGTGTCTGTATAAATTGCACGCAATGTTAAAATTGCGCACGGTGACTCAGGTGTAATCACCTCCGTGTCATTCCATTTTCTGGTCTTTTTAAACACGGTAACGCTAAATCTGAAAGCATGCGTGTGGTACACGCTACGAGTCTGTTAACGTACTGTGCGTTGTTGCGACCGGCCTTTAGGGCATCGGCAACTCTGTAGGAACCTTGTAGAGGCTGGAGGAGTGTAAATTTAACAGAGGGTTTATTTACATTCCGTGCTTGGCGAGTCCTCTCGAATGATGAGCTGGGTGACTCATTATGAAGCGTACGTTCTCCCCAGATCCCTAGATAGGGGAATGGGGGCAGATTACACTGTCCAGTCACACGTCACATAGAACTTGCGAGGGTGACGCCCGCACCCGCCCGGGTAAACGTCCACTATGGAGGCGTGGTCACTGCACTGTAGTGTTGCACCAACGTGGCTCTTCCTTGTGTGAGTGCCGCTGGGCGAGGGGGTCTCACACTCAGACTATAGGGTGCATATAAACGGACCGCCGAACTGCTTGATCATCAATTAGCGGGGCGACTTGTCGCCCAAGGAAGATGTTGCGTCCGCGGAAACCATTGTGGTCGTTGGGGGGGGGGGGGGGGCGGGGAACCCCAGATGGTCTAAATTTCCGGAGCCCTCTACTACGGCGTCTCTCATAATCATATAGTGGTTTTGGGACGTTAAACCCCACATATCAATCAATCAATCAACAATGGTGCGGCAGTATGGGTCGACACGTTGTTGTGAAACAAAGGCGGATAGGGTGCCAGGTGATGAACTTAGTGATGCAATTGGATAGGTGCTGTCGTTTTGGAGTATCGATAGTGAGTGGCCTCCACTGGGCAAAGGACAGCGCGATAGAGCATCATCATCTGGATGCTTCTTCCCAGATCTGTAGGCGACATCGAAATCATACTCCTGCAAGCGAAGCACCCAGCGACCGAGGTTACCCGATAAGTTTTTCAGCGATGAAAGCCAGCATAGGGCGTTATGGTCGGTAACGAGGGTAAAATGACGGCCGTGATGATATGGTCGGAATCTTTGCACTGCCCAAACAACAGCAAGGCACTCCTGCTTGGTGATAGTGTAGTTCTTTTCTGCAGCGGTAAGAACACGACTTGCGTAAGCAACGACGCGTTCGCGTGAGTTTTCGTCACGCTGCAGGAGTACTGCACCTAGACCATGACTACTTGCGTTGGTGTGAAGGATGGTGGGTGCGGTTGAATCGAAGTGGCACAGTACCGGATCCGGCGTGAGTGCTTGCTTTAATGCCGTGAAAGCGCTTTCGCAATTTTCGGACCTAACGAAGGGGACATACCTTGCGAGGAGTTGATGGAGCGGAGACGCAAGTTTCGCGAAGCCATGTATGAAGCACCGGAAGTAAGGAGATAACCCAAGAAAGCTGCGCAGGTCCTTTTGACGTAGTGGACGTGGAAAATCCAGGATGGCGGCAAGCTTCTCGGGGTCTGGTCGAATTCCTTCTTTGCTGACGAGGTGGCCGCGAGAACCTTGATTGTCCTGCTATCAAACGTACATTTCTTGGTGTTAGCCTGTAGACCGGCTTTTGCAAGGCATGTGGGGACTTCGTCAAAACGTTGTAGATGCTGTGAAAGCGTAGATGAAAACATTACTATGTCATCGAGATAGCACAGACAAGTTTTCCATTTCAAACCACGCAATACGCCGTCTATCATGCGTTTGAAGGTGGCGGGTGCATTACAGAGTCCAAAAGGCATCACATTAAACTCGTACTACCCATCTAGCGTAGAAAAGGCGGTTTTTTCTTTATCAGACTCCGACATTGGTATCTGCCAGTAGCCTGACCCAAGGTCGAGGCTAGAAAAATACTCAGCGCCCTGTAATGAATCCAGTGCGTCGTCGATCCGAGAGAGAGGATAAACATCCTTGCGCATTATTTTGTTTAGCGCACGATAATCGACGCAGAAACGCACTGTCCCATCTTTCCTTTGAACGAGAACAACTGGGGATGACCAGGGACTGGAGGAAGG